GTGTGTGTATGTGTGTGTGTGTGTGTGTGTGTGTGTGTGTGTTTTATATATGTTCCATGTGTGCACATGCACGCGTAAGTCCATGTGCTCGTGTAGAAAACACGACAACGTTATACATAGGAAATCGCTCGAGTTTCGAATAAAATGAGGCCAGTGAACTTTATATTATACGAATATTTTATTATATATAAATATATTCTATTGCAGTTTAGTACCCGGGAAAAAGTTCGCGTTAGTATGAATATTATAATAGATCTGTTTTAGCTACATTTTCTGCACTTGATTTCTCTGACAAAACTAAACGGTCATGTCACCATATGATACATTCTTTGGACATTTCTGAGAAAAAAAATTATAAATCAATTAAAATCTTTCCATAAGTTAGAAGAATATAACACAATCAAAACCCCAAATATTCAAGTCATCCAGTAAAATTAATTGTGTGTATTTAGCTTAACATGTACACTATTGATCTTTCTCTTAATCTTCTTCATTTTTTTCTAATTCTATTTTATTCTGACATCCAAATATGTTTCTATCCTATTTCACGTATTGAAAATGTTATTAATAAACATAACAATTCAACTAATATCTATCTGTCTCCCTGAAAGTTTACTCCTTAATATAGAGTATTCGCAAAAATCGAGATTAAACTTATACAAAATATTGATAAAATCAGAAAAGATGAAAAAAGTTCATATAAACTTATTAAGTGTATACAAAATTTTAGTATTTTTTCAGTCCTCTAACGTAATTATCTTAAATTGAAATATTTTCCCGCCGTTTTGTATTTTTATAAAGTTGGTATTGAACTTTCTAAAAAACGCCATTCATTATAATTCATTAGCACATAACCTCAAAACTAACAATGAAAGAGGGAAAACTTTTATATTCGATATTGCATTCGATATGAATTCCAGCAAGTAAAAAATGCTGCTAAACCATTTGAATCCATTTGCTCTGTTCTTCCGAGGAAAATATTGCGCCCCACAATATGTGCAAATATTAGTTTCGTCGCTTTAAAAACAGTAATTTTGACGTGAGTGACTGTCCGCGCTCTGGAATGCCACTGGAAAATTTAAGGCCGACAATTGGAAGCGTTGTTGAATGAAAACCCATCTCAAACGCAAATAGAACGTGCAGAACAGTTCGAAATTGACCAAGCAATAGTTTCAAGGCGACTGCATGAAATGGGAAAAATTCAGAAATTCGAAAACGGGTGCTGCATGAATTGTTGCAAAACAGCATTATCCGCCGTTTGAATACGTTGCATTGTTTTCCAGATAGCGTAAAAAAGATTTTTTGTTACTGGCGATGAAAAGAGGATTATATATGATAATCTTAAACGCAGATATTTGTAGATCCGAACAACTTTCTACATCAGTGGCAAAACCAAATATTCACAGCAAAATGGTCCTTTTGTGTATTTGATGAGATGCAAAAAGTTAAATACATCAATTAATCATAACGAATGGCGTTTTAGAAAGGTCAATATCAAGCTTTAGGCCGCATCCCATTACAGATTGTAGGCTTGTTTGCGATGGAGATTACGGTTGGATGTTGGAAATCTACCAATCAGGATAAAGTAGTTCGCCGGCTGGTTGCGAGTTATAATTTAGACCCGAGTCTATTTATGATTTGTTTGTTGTAAAATCATCTAATAAGATTGCGAGAAAAGATCACGTGTAGTTTGATTGTTTAACGTGTTGCATGATCAGCCAATCCATTACTGTTAACCGTAATCTCAACTAAGTCCACAATCTGTAGCGAGATACGGCCTTTTCAAAAATACAAAATGGCGGAAAAATATTTTAATTTAAAATAATTACATTAGAAAGTTAAAGAAAGATTAAAACTTTTGTATACATCTAATATATTCAATGATGCCTTATTAAAAAGTTGCGAACATTCAAAGATTTACGAGTAAAATTGTTTTCTCGAACTCCGTATAAGGAATCACTGATTCGGAATAGTTTACGCGTTTTGATCCGTACACAAATTTCATCAGTCATTACAACAGTTATAATAAATGCTCGAGAATCTTTCTTTCTACAAGAATTCCATTCGTCGGACTCTCACTTGTCAAACTAATAGCTGTTAAATTCTTACTACTGGAAATAGTAATAAATACGTTTTCAATACATTCCCAGAGAAAGTCTTTCGTTTCTATCAAATTCTTCTAAACCAACATTTTGGCTCGAAAGTAAAAGTCAAGAGACTTCCTTTTAGAGAGTTAAATCTGGTTGCGAGAACAATTCTGTTTGCAAATCTTTACACGCTTGTAATTTCCTAATAAACCATTTCCCATAAGTTTATATAAAGCATAAGGCATATGAGGCATAAGTTTCTATAAATTTTCTTGTACTCGACCTCGTTAGCACTTTGCATAAAGTTTGGTCCCGATCTTTGCGGACACCCTGTTATATATTATAGAGTTCACTGGGCGGCTGACTCGAGTCCGTTGCGGCTAAACCCTCGTCATGCATCGGCGAAAGTATTCGCCCCCGATTCTCGTACATTTCCCACATCGATGTACATATAACGCAAGTTTAGCGAAAGATCGGAGAGGTTCTCCCTAAAAGCTACGGCGGAAACGAACAGAAAAAGAACCGACAGTATAGTATTGTATTATGTCGAATCGTATGTAGAGAGAATCGAATTTGTTAGAAACGTGTTAACGTAAACCTATTAATATTGCGCATGCGCATGCGCGAGACCGTCGTCCACTACCGCGATACTAAAAATATCCTTTTTCCGTAAAATAAATTCCTCTCTCTCTCTCTCTCTCTCCCTCCCTTCCCCCACCCTTCCCTCCCCACCTCCGCCTCTCCCCCTCCCTCTTCACCCTCACCCCTCTCCCACCTCTCTCTCTTTCTCTCTCTTTCTCTCTCCATCTTAATTTGTTACTAAGACACTTGATACAAAACGGCGCTACGCTTGCGTTTGGTATAAAAAACAGTTAAACGTTGGAATGGCATTTGTCCGACGACGATATGTCGCTATATCTACATAATGCAGTCTGTTTCAGAATTAAGGGTGGGGAGAAGGCTAGGGGGTAGGGGGGTTTGATTTTCCATACGAAGGATCCGAAAGAGCGGGATCCTCTCGCGTGTTCGACCTTCGATGTCTCCCTTTCTCCTTCCCAATCAATCTAGCTGTTTCCTGCCATATCGCTTCTCTTACCTGCTCCCAGTCCTCTCATCCTTCCCGTTCTACTTCGTTCTGTGCCTCTTCTCGTCGTGACGAGAAGTCATAACGCGCAAATAAATCGTCTTTGATATATATACAACTGATAAACTATATAAATAAATAAATCGATAGGTGTTACTGATCACCGTCGATCGGCAATGATAAGATCGATCGGCGCATGTGCAATCGCGACGGGTCTGTCGATCCGTCGCGAATTCCGATCGCACGAGACGCTCGTTCCGTCGTCCGCCGTCGACTCGGGCCAATCGACGAGCTGTCGCGCGGGCTACAATTAACCGACTGGAAGTAAATCGATTGGGAAGCCATTAATGCAAAACTTGCCGCGACTAATTGCCCGTCTTTGATTTCGCATTAATCAATTGAAAATCTTGCCCACGAGACGAGAGTTTGCTGCTCCGTCGTTTACCTCTCTTTCTCTCTCTTGCCGTTTCACACTTTCCCTTTCTCCGGCTCTTCGCTACGCAGGCAGTCCGTCTGTTCGTGAACGTCATCTCATTCTTCAGCACCATCCAAGCACCACCCCGATACGTGATTACTAAGAACTACTAACTGATTTACCCCGTACCGTTAAGGCCCGTTAAGTTACTTCGATTCGGTCGAACGTTCTCGACCTGTGCGACCGTAGTATAGGTTAAGCGATATGATCATTGTATCTCACAGTTATATACTGGCAGAATATATAAGAATACTTGAAAGATAAAATTCTTCTTACGTATTAGCGAACAGCAACTATGGTTGCGTTCCAAAATAGTGCTGACAGTACTGATAGTACTGGAACCAGCGTATTAATCCTTCCAAAATCGTCAGTAAATGATTAACAGCGCGAAGGACGGAACAGATTTGCAGCATCGTGCAGTGAGTTAGCAAAGTAATTTATAACTTATTTAAGTGTAAAGATTGAAAATAAATTTGGAATTATAATTAACTTAATGTCAATTTTACTCGATAAACAAGTATTGAAAATTTTATTGAAAATAATTTGTAAAATTCATTATCAGACGACGTGAAGAAAATATTTCATATATTTCATGTTTATTATTTTAAATGCTTTTTTAATTATCGACTTAAACCTCTCTAAGACTTACGAAAAGACCTCCAGAAACCTCTCAAGATGCAAGTGAGTTGTCGAGTTGCTCGAGAATATTTTTTTTTAATTCCAGGTAATTTCGATTTATGAAGGAAGGAGGGATGGTACCATATTTACTTTTACTAATTCCAAATTAATTAAAAAAAGAATCTCTTTAAAAAGGCACTTTCGAACGCCCTGTGTAGTTGCTTTCATTAATACGAGAAGAGAATTAAACTTCCCAAGATTTTTATGCATTATACCAATTAATTACTATGGAGACGCCAATAATTACATATATATATATATGTATATATATATATGTATATATATATATATCACTTACCTTATCTCAAAAGCGCAGCGCAAAAGAGGAGCGCAGATAGAGAGCGAATTATTGGAGCTTTCTGCGACGCCCGTGTCTCATGAGAGATGAGACAGTCGCCGGAGAACTCAACCCTGCTCCTAATTTAGACTCCAGCTCTCCAGCGCCGCGATCGTCGTCGTCATTGTGACCGGAACATATCCGACCTTACCAATCAAACTGAATTAAGAGACAAGCGACGCAAGTGACGCGATTACTCGTTCGCTCGCGCGCCTGCTGGATTCTTCCAGCACGTCGACACTATCGACCTAAGCCGAAACCTAATCTAACACGCGAAGGCTGTCGGCGTGCACACCGCGACCCTCGCCGGGATTCAACCGAAGGAGAGAGAAGCCACTCTCAAACGCTGTCGGATGCTACGGACATCGGTCTCTTGTAGGACACCGGTGCTGGTATCCTCGAATAAGCTCCTCTCTCGGACACCGGCTTCGGATCTTTCCTGGGGTTCGTCGTCACCGGACTGTCCTGCGACAAAGTCGCTGTTCCGTTACTGTCCACCCACGCCTTGGTGAGCGCCATGTTCGCCGCACTGTCGCTTGGACCAGTCTGGTAAGTCCTCAGGAGGTCCTGTAGCTTCCGTACCATCTCGTGATCGTCCTGCAGGTGACCCACCTTCTGCAGGATTTGCTCCAAGAGCGGATTCGCCACTTTCGTGGGCGATGACTGCAGGGATCCGGTGGTGGAAGCTCGGATTCTCCTGCCATTCCTGTCGTATTGAATTCCACCATTCGAGCTAGGTCTGGGCAGACTTTGCCTGGCTGGACTCTTCCTGGAGAAATTTGGGGTCGTGGCGCTCGCTGCTGGTGTGGCTTGAGGGCTCATGAAAGTGTCCGATTGGATACTGGGCCTCTTCTTAGCTTGGCGGCCGTTCCACGTGTTGCTGCCACTGAGCGGTGATTTGCAGGACTTGAGTATCGGCGAAGACGCCTTGCCAATGCTTCCGGTCACCGTGGGTGGTTTCCGTAAGCTTCCGCAGTTGCGGGAAGCGAGACTGTAACCCCCTCGGTTCAATGGGCTGCCCTCGGGACTAGAGTTACTGTCTCTGGGTGTCCTGCTGCCGGATGATGTCTTGGACAAGTTGCTGATAGAACCAGCGCAAGGTGTCTTCTCACCCGATGAGAACGTGTCGTTTCTTGGCAGCGGGTAGTTCCGTACAGGACTCGAAGAGCGAAGTCGGGTCTTACGCAGGCCGGTCTCGATACTGTCGGTGTCCACGCAAGATCTTTCCTCGGATTCTACCTTTGGAGGTTGCTCTGGAACAAAGGAAGCACAGATACGTGTTCACGCCTGATTCGATGAGAACATTGCAGCAAACTGCAAATCCCGGAGGTTTGCAAATCCTGGAACTTTGCAAAGACAGAGAAACGCTTGGATTCAATGGCGCAGCTATCTTTTGGTTTCAACTAGGAAACAGGTTGAAGAAAGATACAGTTTTCATAATACCATGATTTTTCATGTTACTGCCATAATTAAAAAACAACATAACATTGAAGAAGTATAAATACGATAATTTAATAGCATTTTATGTCCGTTATATGTAAGATATATGTAAGAACATATGTACAGATATTATACAGTCTGTTTGATAGAAGCATGTCCGGCGTAACTCGAAAATAATTTATTGTAATGATTTGGAAGAAAACATACATACTACTTGATTAAAACTGTGATGCTTTATTATTAATAATCTATTCAGTCGCTTCTATTATCAATAATATGGCATCTTTTTACTAATTTTATGGCATATTCTTAAAATAAAGGTTTCCGAATTAAACTAACTTCTTGATCTTCTAAATTTTCTTCCCACAAAGTTTAAGTTTCAGTGCGGGTATGCAAAAGTTTCCATCGTTTATAAGGCAATATTTTTTATTAATATTATTATAAATGACATAATATCTTTAATCAAAATATTTTCCGGCATTATCTATTACTTTTTGCCATCTCTCAGGCAAGAGATAGATACCGCTATAAAAGAAGTCTTTACTCTTAGAATGAATGAAGTCATCAATGAATTGTTGCACTTCCCCAACATTGCAAAATCGTGTACCAGCAAGACTGTGCTGCTGCATAGATCAAAATAAGTGAAAATCCGATGGAGCAATATCTGAAGAATATGGTGTGGTAAGACTTCCCATCGCAATTCTATTAAAGTTTCCCGGGTCGTCAATGCAACATGGAGCCTGGCATTGTCGTGCGGAAGAATCACTTTGTTTTGCTTTGTCGCAGAATATGGCCGTTTCTTAATCAATTACTCATTCAACTGGCTCAATTGTCGACTGTACAATTTCGCGGTGATAGTATGAGATGGTTTTAACAATTCATAATACAGCACTCCTTGCATATTCCACCAGATACACAGGAGGACCTTATGATCATGGATATTTCGTTTTAGCTGTGACGTAGAAGGTTCTCCGGAATTTACCCACGATCTTTTGCAATTGAGATTGTTATAACAAATCTATTTTGCATCTCCGGTCACAATTCAATAAAAAAAAAAGACTGTGTTTGTGTCTATTGGGCAACGAAAGGCAAATAGTAACTCGGCTGGCAATAGCGTTCTCGGATAATTCATGGGGGGGGGGGGAATCCATTTTCCTTCCTTCAGAATTTTCCCTATCTCATGTAAGCGTCGAATTATACTCTGCTCTGTGCTTTGATTAATATATAACCTTTTCGCAAATTCTACACCCGATTGAGTCGAATTTTCTTGCAACAATGTTTCCAAGTCATCCGAACTCATCTCTTGCAGTCGCCTAGCACGCTCCTTGTCTTTCAAATCAAAATCGTCACTTTTAAAGCGCGGAAACCACTCATGACATGAACTTTCAGCTATCGCTCTCTCACCATAAATTTCGCAATTGACTCTGGTTGCTTCGGCAGCTGTTTCGCGCTGATGAAATAGCTGATAAAAGAGCATATAATGACGAATATGCCTCTTATCGACTTATCTTCATACGAATTAAAAATGTTTATGTCAATGAATATGACTTATTATGCATCAGTTTCTATGCAGGTTGATCAATACTGACATAATCTAACAAAAATGTGTCGCAACTTTCATGTAAATAAATCTTCTCATGTATTTAAATCTTAATCTTCTTCTTTAAATCTTAAATCTTCTCATGTATTTAGCAGCCGTTTGGCGTGACATTTCCAGTCCTTTCGGATGTATACAGAGAAACAGGACTTTGAGTCGCGATACGTATGCGGCGAAATATATCTTTCTACCAGAAGAAAGTTAAATGACAGCTGAAGCTTTCTGTACAAAGCATCTTAAAAAGAGGGGGAGTCCCGTTGGAACTTATCGTTAATGCTTTCCATGTAGAAGTTTCGCTGGACATGCTTTTATCAAACAGACAATGCGTAAGAAGAAGATGTTTTCTCAAAAAGTTATTCTTTGCGTCAACATTGTTTTCTATCACGCTGTTCATATATGTACGTTCTTTGTGCAAAGTTTCAGAGACTTTCCAGAATTTACAAGTCGCCGAACCTCTCTTGCGAGACTTTATCCGGTCGATACAATTAACGAGACATTTGCCTGCTTGCCTGTTTAAAGCGAGAGAGAAATCGGCCGCTGGTGAATCACCTAATGAATTTTCATCGTATCATTAATTCTGCGATATTCTAATTATTATCGCAAGTATAGCGCTAACGGTTGCGGCTTCGCATTGGTCGCTTATTATTATAGAATTAACTATCCCGCTGAAGTATATTAATTATGCACAACCGGGCGGTTCCTCAGCGGAAAAAATACCGTAGGACGGTGCCGTTTATGTAATTCCCAACTGCTAGAAAGCACGTTGATTACATAAACGAGCGTCACACGGTGGTGCAATTGAGGCTCGGCTCTAAATCTTGTCATTTCCGCGCGGCGCGCGGGCGGCCCATAAACGCGCTCGTCGCGCTCGTTTCACGGAGATCTGCGTCTCTCTTCAACGCGAATGCTCGCGTGTAGCGATTAGCGCTCTCGTGGGGCCGGGCGTTAAAATTTTGTCACGCACCTTCGCCGAGGTGTCAGCTTTCACGTACGCGTGTGATTCGGCTCCCCGCATGGAAAAAGAAAGAAAAAGAAAAAATTAACGATACCACGCCGAATCGCTCGACCGTCGGCGCTTAGCATATTTAGCGTGGGCGAGGAAGTGAAGGAACGGGTCGCGCGACGTAATCGGGGACCGTTTGTGGGTCTTGTTGATTTACATCGAACGACGCACCTGCGAAAGACGAAAGAATAGAGGTAACCGCCACGCGGCCCCGGAGATGAATTCTTCGCCGGGACTTCTGCCGTCACGTGACTTCTCACCGATGAATATCCCCTTCCTCTCCCTCCTTCCCCCCTCCCTCTCTTTTTCTGCTGTTCCTTTTTCATTTTACGTAATGCGCTCGCGTTTGGATTTTTCTACGTAATTTTTATGCAATCGAAGTCAAGTTCGTTATGTAAAATTCGTACAGACGCCGCCACATTAATTGGCGTCGCATCTCGCACAGCAATTATCGATCGTATATTATGTATTTATTACATGCTCGCACCGTCGCGCTATTCCACCGAGCGCCGTCTCATCCGTGCGATCGGACGACAGATTTTCATCTCGCACGAAAGAAAATAAGGTGTCGCACTGTGGGATGTTTGGCCTGAAAAGCTGGCCAAAGTTAATTTTCTTGAAATCATCCACCTGCTCTACATGAGTGGCTGTCTTAGACAGTTGAATATCTGTGGAATAATGGGCCGTTATGCTTTTGTTCGTCCGCGATAATATGAAGCGGTTTGGTTATTCGGAATTTGGACGTTATTCATATGGCACGCATCAATTCTCAGCGCTTTATAACATACGATCTTCGATGAGAATTTTAAGGTTCTTAAAAGTGGCAGCGCGACATTTTTCGTTATGGATTGTTTCGACAAAGGTATGAAGGAACGTTTTAAACTATATTTATTTAAATTGAATTGTTATTCACGTAGATATACGATTTTGAAAATAGCATTCAATAATGTATCTTTTTGCGTTCTCGATGTCAAACTCGAAGGTAGAGATGTGCAAACTATTCGAATTCAAATCGAATCGAATCGAATCTAATGTAATTCGATTCGATTTGAATCCGAATCCCTATGGTTCGAATCCGAATAATTCGAAAATTTCGAATCGCGAAGATTCGAATGCAAATCAAATACATTAGCGTTTGCGCGCATCAGCTACAAAACGGGCCATCAAAATGGGCCTGTATGTTTAAACCCTTAACTTGTAATAAACTTGATTTATAATTAATAACTTAATTATAAATTACTTCAAATATTTAAATATATATTTTACTTTAAGATGATATTATATCAATATTCCCTTTTATATTAAATGTTTTATGTTAAATTTTTTAATGATTCGATTCGATTCGAATTCAAATTTAAAAAATGAGATTCGATTCGATATAAAAATTCTTAATTCGCACATTTCTACTCGAAGGATTTAGTTATACTTCAGGATATATCCCTGTTACGTTTTTTGAATGAAATGAAAGAGTAATCTGTCCGGATGAAATATCAGAAAGAATTAGCCGCGGAAAATCGTGGATGTAGTTTTAGTAATTACTTTTGTTTCTCTAAACGTAAATTAGGTTTTGTCCAAAGGTTATTTAGACATGAAATTTTTTTTTATTTCTTTTTGTTTTTTTTTTGTTCCCTTTTGTAATATTTGGATATAATCGACAGACTTCTACTAAATTCTGACCCGTTACTAACAAATATGAGATTCTAGCAAAAAAGAAATCTAAACTATTTTTAAAGGAAACATTGAATATGCTTCTTCTCACTGAGCCCGCACCAAGAAGAGGAGATATTTCAATAGATGAAAATGATGTTGATTCTGAGGACGGAATACATTCATTAGATGAAAAAATTTGGAGTTTGTCTAGTTGAATACTTATTGATGTGCAATATTATGCTTTCTTAATTATTAAAATATTTTTACATATATATTTGCACTTTATTTCATATAAGTTTTTTAGATTTCATCTTTATAATGATCATATAATTGGTAGTACGTTTTAAACAGAAATTCGTCAAAAAATAATTTTGGCCAACTTTTTCGTACAAACATCCCACTATGCGTCAGTTTCCTTCTTCGCTCTATGTCCGCTGTGGATAGAAAGTCCTATGATGGAAATGCCGACTTTTGCGTCCGTCCGGTCACCTGATGTCATCGGCTAGCCAATGTGTCGTCCTACATTACATTTTCGCGCATTTCACGTACGCACCCACGTCTAA